TGTGCGTACTTCACCACGCTGTGCGTACTTCACCACGCTGTGCGTACTTCACTACGTTGTGCGTACTTTACTACGTTGTGCGTACTTCACTACGTTGTGCGTACTTCCCTACGTTATGCGTACTTCCCTACGTTGTGCGTACTTTACTACGTTGTGCGTACTTCCCTATGTTGTGCGTACTTCACTACGTTGTGCGTACTTTACTACATTGTGCGTGTGTGTGTATGTGTGTGTGCGCTAGTGTGTGAACCTGGACAAACTGGAGCCGGTCTCCAGCGAGGAGGGACTGGTCAACCAGTCCATGGTGCTGCTGGAGGACAGGAAGTTCTGGGCTGGGATTGTGTTCCCGGACATCGATCCAAATGCAACTGAGCTGCCGGCTAAACTCAACTACAAGATCCGCATGGACATCGACAACGTGGAGAGGACCAATAAGATCAAAGACGCGTAAGACACACACACACACAGATGAAAGTGACTCCAACATAAACAACCCAGAGATGCCTGAGGAAGATGTTCTTCATGTCTGTCCTCCTCCTCATCAGGTACTGGGACCCGGGTCCTCGTGCAGACCCCTTTGAGGACATGCGGTACATCTGGGGCGGGTTCTCGTACCTGCAGGACGTTATTGAGCAAGGCATCATCAGAGCAGTGACGGGCACCAAGGAGAAGACGGGCGTCTACATCCAGCAGATGCCATATCCATGCTACGTGGACGACATGTAAGAACTGTCCTCCATGTCCAACCCCTCCATGTCCTAACCTATCCTCCATGTCCTAACCCGTCCTCCATGTCCTAACCTGTCCATGTCCTAACCCGTCTTCCATGTCCTAACCCGTCCTCCATGTCCTAACCTGTCCATGTCCTAACCCGTCCTCCATGTCCTAACCTGTCCTCCATGTCCTAACCTGTCCTCCTTGTCCTAACCCGTCCTCCATGTCCTAACCCGTCCTCCATGTCCTAACCCGTCCTCCATGTCCTAACCCATCCTTCATGTCCTCCATGTCCTAAACCATCCCCTTCGTCCCTCCCATCCAGCTTCCTGCGGGTGATGAGCCGCTCCATGCCTCTCTTCATGACTCTGGCATGGATGTACTCTGTGGCGATCATCCTGAAGAGCGTCGTGTATGAGAAGGAGGCTCGTCTGAAGGAGACCATGAGGATCATGGGACTGAACAACGGCATCTTGTGGTTCAGCTGGTTCATCAGCAGCCTGATTCCTCTGCTGGTCAGCGCCGGCCTGCTGGTGCTGCTGCTGAAGGTCAGCCTGGATCTACTTTATTATTCTTTATAGATTTATTTAGTTCATGTTATCTGAGCAACAAAACCTCCGATACACAACAAATCATATGATTTATACTTTAATTGCTTACATATAATCTATCAGCCGTCTGCTGATCGGTGGCTCCTTGTTTTTAAATCCCGTCTTAAATACATTTTATTCTTCGTTCTCATGGCTTTGCTTTTATGATTTTATGTTATCGTTATGTTGTTTTTATGTCTTTGGTCGCCTGTTTTTCAATACGTTTGGACTGGAGTTGATTAGCCATCTACTAATTTGATAATAGATTAATTCTTCAAGTCATTGTTTAACTTAACAGCGTCATCAACAGGTTTAATTTGCCTGGCTTGATCTACAGATATAATTGTGTATCATCTGCATAATATTGTGTAAAGGAAGCATAAGGTGGATGGAATGGGTCCCTACAGAACCTTGTGGGGCTCCGTAGCTAACATTGGTGTGAATGAAGGATTCATTTAACTCAACTTTAACTAAGCTACTTGTGATGATTTGTTCATTCTTTAGTCTGATGTGATAATAAATCTTATGAATCTACACATGTTGGAACAGTTCATCACATGAGTCTGGTTTGTGTTATTGATCCGATGGTCTTTGCTCTGAACAGAAGGGGAACCTGCTGCCCTACAGCGACCCCGCCGTGGTCTTCCTCTTCCTGGGGTCCTTCGCCGTGGTGACCATCATGCAGTGCTTCCTCCTCAGCACGGCGTTTGCCCGTGCTAACCTGGCCGCCGCCTGCGGAGGAATCATCTACTTCACCCTCTACCTGCCCTACGTGCTCTGCGTGGCCTGGCAGGACTACATCGGCTTCGGAGCCAAAGTCTTCGCCGTAAGAAATCCTTTGTTTGTTGTCGTGACGCTGTGTTGTTATTGGACGGGAGTGAGTCACATGTCTCCCCCCCCCCCCCCCTCCCCCCTCAGAGCCTCCTGTCCCCCGTGGCGTTCGGGTTCGGCTGCGAGTACTTCGCCCTGTTCGAGGAGCAAGGAGTTGGCATCCAGTGGAAGAACCTGGTGTCCAGTCCTCTGGAGGAGGACGACTTCAGCCTCCGCACCGCCATCATCCTCATGTACGTCGACTCCTTCCTGTACGGAGTACTCACCTGGTACATCGAGGCCGTGTTTCCAGGTGAGAGAAGTGAAACGTGGTCAACAGACGCCAAAGAGTTCAGGCTTAAGACTTAGAAACTTGTTACCAAATCCATGATGATCTTAACTTTAACATCCTTCCATAGTTTTAATCATTTCCTAAACTGACTCTGGTCAGTAGGTGGAACAAGAAAGTTTCTCTTTTCTTATTGGAAGTAATAAGAATAATAAATATGTATTCTGATCATTAATAAGGTTTATTTGTCTCAGGTCAGTATGGGATCCCTCGACCCTGGTACTTCCCCTTCACTAAGGGCTACTGGTTTGGACAGAAAGACGGGAAGTCCAACAAAGTCCCGCTGAGCCGGAAGGAAAACCCAGAAGGTGAGGCTGCAGTAACTCTGAGTAACCACACAGTTGCAATATAGCTGCATCTGTAACCTCCTATAAGACTTTTATTCTGAAAGAGACTTCCTGGACAGAGCAGTGATGTGTTTTTTTTTCTAGCTGTGTGTATAGAGGAGGAGCCGGCTCACCTGGAGCCAGGAGTCTACATCGAGAACCTGGTGAAGGTCTACCGTCACGGGAAGAAGCTGGCAGTGGACGGACTGACGCTCGGCTTCTACGAGGGACAAATCACCTCATTCCTGGGACACAATGGAGCTGGGAAAACCACCACCATGTGAGTAGAGGACCACATCAACCAGGACAGGATCAGGGACAGGATCAGGATCAGGATCAGGGACAGGAACAGGGACAGGGACATATACTTTTACATGTGAAGATGCAGGCAGAAGTACAGGAACAGATCTAGTATGTCCATCTAAATCATCTGGCCCCTGCAGGTCCATCCTGACCGGTCTGTTCCCTCCAACCTCCGGTACCGCCTACATCCTGGGCAAAGACATCCGGACTGAGCTGAGTGCCATCAGACAGAGTCTGGGAGTCTGTCCTCAACATAATGTCCTCTTCAGCATGTGAGTCCTTCGACATGATGCAGGTCTGTTCATCCATGTCAGGGTTGGAGACGTCCCTTTGTTTAATGATGGAGTTTGCGTGCTGTGGCGCCCCCTGCAGGCTGACGGTGGAGGAGCACATCTGGTTCTACGGCCGGCTCAAAGGCCTGTTAGAGCAGCAGGTGAAGGGTGAGATTGAGCAGATCCTGCAAGACACAGGGCTGCCACACAAACGTAACTCCAGGGCCAGTACGCTGTCCGGCGGCATGCAAAGGAAGCTGTCTGTGGCACTGGCCTTCGTCGGGGGGTCGAAGGTTGTGATCCTGGACGAGCCCACGGCCGGTGTTGACCCTTTCGCCCGCAGAGGGATCTGGGATCTGCTGCTAAAGTACAGACAGGGTGAGTGGTCCTAATAGGACGGTGCTGTTTATTTTAACTAGCTAGACTGTGATTTAACTTCCCGTCTCCCGTCAGGTCGGACCATCATCCTGTCCACGCACCACATGGACGAGGCCGATATCCTGGGCGACCGGATCGCCATCATCTCCCACGGGAAGCTGTGCTGCGTGGGCTCGTCTCTGTACCTGAAGAACCAGCTGGGGACGGGCTATTACCTAACGCTGGTGAAGAAGGAACCAGAGCCGTCGCTGAGCTCCTGCAGGAACTCCTCCAGCACCGTGTCCTTCACCAAGAAGGTCTCTGCCGCAGTTACACTACTCACTGTGTGCCTCAGCGTCTTAGTGTCTCACTGTCTCAGTGTACAGTGTACAGTGTCTTAGTGTCTCAGTGTCTCACTGTCTCGTGTGTCTCATTGTATTAGTGTCTCAGTGTACAGTGTGTGTCATTGTATTCGTGTCTCACTGTACAGTGTGTCTCAGTGGCTTAGTGTCTCACTGTACAGTGTGTCTCATTGTCTTAGTGTCTGTGTAGTGTGTCTCAGTGGCTTAGTGTCTCACTGTATAGTGTGTTTCATTGTCTTAGTGTCTGTGTACAGTGTGTCTCAGTGGCTTAGTGTCTCTCTGTACAGTGTGTCTCATTGTATTAGTGTCTCACTGTACGGTGTGTCTCAGTGGCTTAGTGTCTCACTGTACAGTGTGTCTCAGTGGCTTAGTGTCTCACTGTACAGTGTGTCTCATTGTCTTAGTGTCTGTGTACAGTGTGTCTCAGTGGCTTAGTGTCTCACTGTACAGTATGTCTCAGTGGCTTAGTGTCTCACTGTACAGTGTGTCTCATTGTCTTAGTGTCTGTGTACAGTGTGTCTTATTGTCTTAGTGTCTGTGTACAGTGTGTCTCAGTGGCTTAGTGTCTCTCTGTACAGTGTGTCTCATTGTATTAGTGTCTCACTATACAGTGTGTCTCAGTGGCTTAGTGTCTCACTGTAAGTGTGTCTCAGTGACAGAAGAAACCGGTTTATCTAAAAATGTTTGAGTCTCCAGTCAGGCTAGATGCTCTGTGAGGTTTTCAGCAGTACTTTGCTCTCTCTGTGTAGTATTTTACCTGTGTTTTTACTGTGTAGTACCAGTGCTTATGATTGTGTACTTTGTGTTTCAGGAGGAGTACTTATTGTGTACTTTGTGTTTCAGGAGGAGGAGTGTGCCTCGGTCAGCAGCAGTGACGCCGGACTCGGCAGCGAACATGAAAGTGAGGCCGCTACCATCGGTGAGCTCTCTGTTCCTGCAGAGCGTTTGATTCATTCACCTTCAGGTGGATCTGATCTGTGTCTCATGTCCTTAGAAAACGGGCCGGCGGCGTCCATTTGCAACGTCCCCTTCGTGCCCCCCGACGTGTCCCTGGTCTCGGGTCTGATCCTGTGTCACGTCCCCGCCGCCCGCCTGGTGGAGGACCTTGGCCACGAGCTGACCTACGTCCTGCCCTACAGCGCTGCCAAGGACGGGGCCTTCGTGGAGCTCTTCAAAGACCTGGACCTCAAGCTGACCGACCTCGGTATCTCCAGCTACGGAGTGTCCGACACCACGCTGGAGGAGGTGACGTTTGTTATACTATAAGAATTATAAATATTCATTAATAATACTAAAATATTAAAGTGTGAATACAACAAACAGACAAACTTCTCTCCGTCATCTGACTTTGGTCCAAGTCCACATGATTGGAAAATATCATTGCACATATATATTAGTGCTGGGCAAGTTAACGCGTTATTATCGCATTATCGCGTTAACACATTCATTCATTAACGCCGACAATTATTTAATCGCGCGTTAACGCAGATTTTTTTTTAATTATTAAGCGGACATTTTTAACACAAGAACCGGGCAGCGAGCGGTGAACACGCCCGGACACGCCCGGTCCGGAACCCCCCTTCACTCCGTCACCGTTGGTCCCTCCTGTCTCACACACGCACGCGCGATCGTCTCGTTACAGGATCAAACGTGACAATATCAAAATAAATACATATTGTTGTGTTTTTAAATGAACATATAAGCACGAGAGAACAAACTGCTCTTAACTCAACTCTTCATCAGCATAACTTCCTCATGCACGTGACTGCCACGGTACAGACTACAGATTCCATGCTTCACCTACATTCCCCTGGGTCCTAAGTCCCTCCATGTACAGCTTCTTATCACCGTCTATGTACCAACGTACATTTATAACAAATACCACACATATTACGGTAATCAGCGTTGCATATGTGTCTGACCTAAATACCAAAATACCCAAAAAATAAATGATTCATTTAAATTATTGTTTTAGAGTTTTTAAAGTGTTTTGTTTGTAATATGTATAATAAGCATCATTAGTTATCACTACATAAAAACATGACGTAGATAGGTTTGCAGTTTTCAAGATGTATATTTAAATATCATCTCTTACACATTAAGATAAAGTTGTGAACACCGGCTGAATATCTATGATCAGAATCATTATAACTGTGTTATAACTGCTGCTGTGTAAAGAGAATACTGCTGCTAACAAGAACCTGATGTGTTTAAAGTGTTTAAACCAAATGTTATTGACCTTTAGCTCATATAGCAGCACTTTAAAATAAAAGTGCACAATACACTACTTTTGAATTCATTATTGAACTTTGCCATAACAATGAGATTAATTGCGATTA